TTGGTCGGGTTACTCTGTGTCCCCTAACATGGTTGACGCATGTGTGTGTGTAGCAGTCCAGTCTGTGATAAAGACCTGCATCTTTTTGTAGTGGCCTTTTGAAGGCTGGGCTCTTCATACACCTAATCTCAGCTCTGCCTGGCAGCCCTGCCACCCTTCCCTTTGCTGTCTCCTACTGTGGGTAGCGAGCTCTGAATTCTGGGGCTGCTGAGGGGACGGTGGGTGACAGTGGCACAGAGCAGGTCCTCAGCTGCTAGGAACTGACCAGGGCTTCAATAAAGTCACTGGAGTTGTGCCTGTATGCAGTGCATGCCTGGCTTATAGGGTCTGCTGTGTGTCCCTCATGGCACAGATACAAGGTGGCCCCTAGGGCAGAGAGTCTCTGTGCTGACCTGCAGCACAGGTAGCACCAGAGCTGGGGAAGTGCATGGCTGATTTCTTCTCAAATCAGCCCAAGCCCATGAAGTGGGGTCTGCAACGAGTGCAGGACATGCAGTGCTTGACCTGCTGTAAAGTCTGCCAGGACAGAATATCCCTCAGTTTCTTTCTGCTGGTATCCGAAGGTGGCAGTGAGCTTGCCCTGGCTCAGGGCATTGCTTTGTGGCCACGTGAGTTTCGTCACCAGTGTGTCCCATGTGCTCATATGGGTGACAGTCATACAGGGACACTTGGCATGGTCACTGCTTTTGGACATGGTAATTGAGCAAGCAATGCTTCTGTCTGATCCCTGGCCCTGGTTTCTTAAATGGACAGCATTCTCCATTCGGCAAACCAAAGGCTCCCTGAGGGGAAGATGTGCTCGCAGCACTGCAGCCTTTCCCAGAGGCGACCTGTCTCAGAGAGGCACTTCTCCCTTTCTGTGTGCAATTCCCTGCAGAGCCCAAGCAGGGATGCTCCTTGCCCTTCTTGGGGTGCAGGTGGAGGAGAGGGGCCATGGAAAACCAGAAATGTGAATGCCCTTATCCATCTGGCTGCTCTGGAGGGATTTTAAACCCAGTCTGGAAAGGACCATCAGCAGCAAGGGGGGTGATCGCAGTGACGGGCAGAACCAGGTGGGCACAGGCAGCTCTTGGCCGCGCTCTGGGGAAAGACAGCTATTCTGGGCCATGCAGGGGTGCAGAGCCCTGTGCTGAGCCCCTCCATGGGACGCCAGGTCCCACATGGGCGTGGGTGCGATGCCTCTGTCCTGCAGAGCCCCCAAGCCGGTTTCTAGCAGCTCACTATGGCAGACGTCTGACATTAGGTAGGAGGTGAGCCCAAGGCCTCACTTCTCTGGGAGCCCAGGGCACAAGAGAAGGCACAATCACAGAATCACAGCGTGGTTTGGGTTGAAGGGACCTCACAGCCCCCCCAGTCCAACCCCCATGGGCAGGGCCACCTCCACCAGCCCAGGCTGCTCCAAGCCCCGTCCAACCTGGCCTTGGGCACTGCCAGGGAGGGGGCACCCACAGCTTCTCTGGGCAACCTGGGCCAGAGCCTCACCACCGTTTCTTCCTAAAGTCTCATCTAAATCTCCCCTCTTCCAGTTTAAAGCCATTCCCCCCCATCCTATCACTACCTGCCCTTGTAAAAAGTCCCTCCCCAGCTTTCCTGTAGCCCCTTCAGGTCACCCTTTAAGGTCCCCCTGGAGCCTTCTCTTCTCCAGGCTGAACAACCCCAACTCTCTCAGCTGTCCCCATAGCAGAGCTGCTCCAGCCCCTCAGCATCTCCATGGCCTCCTCTGGACCCTCTCTAATAGCCCCATGGCCTTCTTTTGTTGGGGGCCCCAGACCTGGACACAGTGCTGATGGTGAGGTTTCACAAGAGTGGAGTGATGAGGGAGAAACACCTTCCTGAACCTGCTGGCCATGCTTCTTTTAAGCTTTCCCATGGTGACTGTGTGGTGCCTCCAGGACAAACCCAGCAAGCCTTCAGCTGGAGAGGATGAGGAGAAGGAGTGCTGCCTGTGGGAGGAAGGCTATAGGAGAATGGGAGGGTGAGGCGACAGGGAGGAGAATCAGAGATGTGCAGTGCCCTGGGCCAGGTACTTCTGAATGCTGGGTTGGGAAGTGGTGGCTTTGCTGGTATAGTTTGTAAGAACAGGTACCCATCCCTCAAGGGCATGGTCCTGGCAGTGTGTCATTGAAGGGATGCAGGGGATCATGCTGCAAGCCAGAGAGTGGCATGGGGGGGGGCAGCACGTGGCTCAGCACGCCACCCTTCCTGCTCAGGGTAGCCACAGGGCTGCATGGTGTGCATGGGAGATCACAGATGGGTTGGCTGCAGGGGCTGATCCAGAGACATGCGGAGGGTGGCCATGTGTGGTGATGATGCCAAGGGAGGTGACAGTCTGCTCTAACAGAGCATCCTCTCCTCCTTGCCTTTCTAATCCCCAGGAGAAGATCGAATACGCCTTCCTGATCTTCTTTGCCATTGAGGCGATGCTCAAGATAATTGCCTACGGGTTTCTGTTCCATACGGATGCCTATCTCCGAAACGGCTGGAATGTGCTCGACTTCTCCATCGTGTCACTAGGGTAATGCAAGGAAGGGAAGCTGCTGGTGCTCTTAGAATCAATCATAGAATCATAGAATGGTTTAGGTTGGAAGGGACCTTAAAGCTCCCCCAGTCCAAACCCCCGTGGGCAGGGACACCTCTACTGGCCCAGGCTGCTTCAAGCCCCATCCAACCTGGCCTTGAACACTTCCTGGGAGGGAGTAGCCACAGCTTCCTTGGGCAACCTGTTTCAGTATCTAACCACCCTCGCAGTAAAGAATTGCTTCCTAATATCCAGTCTAAATCTCCCCTCTTCCAGTTTAAAACCATTCCCCCTCATTCTGTTGCTACCTGCCCTTGTAAAAAGTCCCTCCCCAGCTTTCTTGTAGGACCCCTTCAGGTCCTGGGAGGTCACAATAAGGTCCCCCCAGAGCCTTCTCTTCTCCAGGCTGAACAGCCCCAACTCTCTCAGCTGTCCCCATAGCACTGGTGCTCCAGCCCTTTGATCATCTTCGTGGCCTCCTCTGGACCCACTCCAGCACTTCAATGTCCTTTTTGTGTTGGGGACTCCAGAGCTGGACGCAGTATCCAGGTGAGGTCTCACCAGAGCAGAGCAGAGGGGCAGCATCACCTCCTCCATCTGCTGCCCACACGGCTTGTGATGCAGCCCAGGATGGGGTTGGTTTCTGGGCTGCAGTTGCAGATTGGTGGCTCATGGTGAGTTTTCCATCACCCAACACGCCCAGGTCCTTCTCCTCAGCGCTGCTCTCATCCATACTCCGCCCAGCCTGGGTTTGTGCTTGGGATTGCCCCTACCCAGGTGCAGGACCTTGCACTTGGCCTTGATGACTCTCATGAGGTTGGCATGGGCTCACCTCTCCACTCTGTCCAGGTCCCTCTGGATGGGTCCCTTCCGGTGTGTCAACTGCACCACCCAGCTTGGTGTCACCCCAAACTTGCTGAGGGTGCACTCGATCCCACTGCCCATGTTGCTGACAAAGATGTTAAACAGCACTGGTCCCAGTACCGATCCTCGGGGAATGCTGCTTGTCACTGATCTCCATTGGACATTTAAACTGGCAGCTTCTGCCAGGCCTGGTCCATAGCCCATCAGCTACATTGATTTTTCTAGTGACTGCAGTGGATCTGGGGGCAACTCATAGACTCAGTTCATGGTCTTCTCCCATGGCACCCTTTTTCATGCCCTGACATCCCCTGGGATCCTCTCTAACTCTTCCTGTCTGACTCCTCAACACCTCTCAGGTCTCCTTGCCCTGGCAAATGGGAATGGCATGGGCTCCTCCGAGGTTTGGCACACAGGGAGGGGGACCCTGGGCACGTGGGGGTGGGAGGGCCATGCCCAACAACCACGAGTGCGCCTGGCCATTGGACTTAGCCAAGAGGTCAGGCTTCACATGGTTGGTAGAGTACTGTCCTGTCAGAGCTCTGAATCTTAGCGCAGATTTCATGGTTTCCATCCTCACATCCTTCTCTTTCTCCTTGTCCTTCCTTCTGCTTCTCACCCTTTCTTCCCTGCTCTGTGCCCCGGCTCTTTCAGGCTCATCACCATGACCCTGGAGCAGATCAATGCGAAGCAGACTGGGACTTCAGGGGGAAAAGGCGGCTTCGATGTGAAGGCCCTGCGAGCATTTCGGGTGCTGAGACCCCTGCGCTTGGTGTCCGGAGTGCCAAGTGGGTGCTGGGTGCCCTGCCAGCATGAAGGGCTGGTGGGTGGCCTGATCCCCTGTCCCTGGCCAGGGTGTCGGGCCATGGGGCAGGTTTCTTGTTGCTGCTGGGTCATGCCAAGCCACAGGATGGCTGTGGAGGAGCCACAGGTTCTTGCTCACCCCTACAGCTTGCAGTTGTCAACGCTGTGGATATGCAGGTTGGCACACATATAGCTCCCTCCGTGGCTCAGTGTCAGCACCTTTGAGTGGCCAGTGTGAAAGGGGCCAGGACGTCACTCGAGTTTCTCAGGGCAGAGATCTCTTTCTCCCATAACTCATGTGAATACAGCCAGGATGAGGGCAACAGATCAGATGGAGGGTTATAAAGCAGCCTCCGTCACTGCCTGGTGCCTGGCTCAGCTGGTGTTTTCTGCATGCTTGCATGGTGGGTAGAGATAGGATTTCTTACTTCAGAGGTTTCAGTCCCAACCCACCTGTGCCCCTCTTTCCTTGGCATGGGGCATTTCAGACCCTGCTTGTCAGAGGGGCTGGCAGGAA